ATATGGGAGAAATGAAAAGTGAGAAAAAGTAAGCAATTAGTTTAACTATAAACTAAATTAAATATCCTAAACAATAAGCAAATAACAAGTGGCAATGCAAGGGAGGGGTTAGGTAAGGACCACAAACCCTCCCCTTGGGGAGCAAGCAAAACCGCCAATTCACCCTTGGTCAACATAAGGCTGACCAGCCCTAAGGCTTGGGCTCCAAGGCACGCCTAGCTAGCGGCCTTGCCCTTAGCAGGGCCTGCTAGCACGCCGCAAGCCCACGCGAGCTGCTGGGCATTAGCGGGCTGCTGCTAGGACTGCTCGCGTGCTTGCAGGCTGGTGTTAGTGTTGCTAGTATCAACCTACTCACATGCTTGCGGGTTGATGGAAGCGCTGCTAGCTCACCTAGCAGGCATGCTTATGAGGCATTGCACTGCTAGCTAGCTAGCTCGGCCAACACGCCTGGCCAGCGCACATACGTGGTTGTTAGGCTTGGGGCCGAGGCTAGAGCATGGCTAGCAATCTTGCTAGCCTAGGTTGCCTAGTCCTCGATTGGCTAGGCCAATCCGAGGCTAGGTGTTTTCGCGATGACTTGTCATTGGACTTATTCTCGTCTTCTCGATTCGTTGAATCGTCTTGACGTTCAACGCTCGGCTTCGACGCTCTAGGCTCGGAATCCGACGTTTGAGTTCGTAAAATCTCTATCGAATTATTTAATCCTTAGGATTAATTTGTCGGCTTTGTTTGGTTACAAGATTAGGTGTTACCCAAAGGGTTTAGTCAAGAGCAAGTTGTAATATTAATTATACATTAATATTGCTAATCGGAAGCTGCCTCCAGCTAGGTATTACCATCACTTGACCTCATTGAAAAATTAGCTTTATAATAATTCTGAACCCTCTATCAGAATATTACACTTGTTCGAAGGACACCATTTCTTTCAATCAATTTATATGGACGCCTACGTGGGATATCTTCTTCCTCTGTAAGCGAGAAATAATACACTTGTTCGAAGGACACCATTCCTTTCAATTTGATAACTCCCGATAAAGTTATTCAAAGGGAGGAGCTGGTTTGAGTGAGGAGCTTTGATTACTCCAGCTGAAGTTACTCAAAGCAAAGAGCTGGGCTAAGTGAGGAGCTTTGATTGGCTTCTTTTTTTATTTTTATTTTTTTACGTCGTAGCTTTGCTAGTGGGTGGTTTATTCCCTTTATTCGGTAGGTAACTACCATTTATTGCGAGTATTCAATTCCCATTCTCTTTCCTTTTTGTATTTCGCTTCTCCACTTTTCTCAATTTCGTTTTAATTTCAAAACACTTTCTTTCCTTTTGTTTCCTTCCCACTCACTTGCGATTGTTGGCGGTTCTTTTTGTTTTCTCTCTCTTTATTTTCTCCACTTTACTCGTTTTGAGTTTTGAAATTTTTTGGGAGTCGCTTGATGTAAGTTCACTGTAAATTACCCCTTGCTTACTTCGTAATTGTTGCTTGTTATTCAAAAGATACCGTGAATTTGTAATTCAAAAGAAACTATAAAATTATCGTAATTACGGAGCAAGCAAGGGGTACAAATTGAAATGCAAATATGAAATAAGAAGGTATCTTTCGTAATTACGGAGCAAGCAAGGGGTAATTACAAATATGGGAAAAATCATAGTTAATTTCGTGCTTGCTCCGAAATTTGTTATTCAAAAGATATCGTAAAATTAACTATGATTTTTCCCAAATTCGTGCTTTTTTGCTCCGCCGTGTCGTTAGTTAGCCCTTTTACACTTCTTTTCTTGTTCAAATATCAATTCTATCTTGTTGTTGTTATATTTCTTCGTCGCCATTATGTTTTTACTATTCATTCTCGAGTTGATTTTTCCTTTTTTATTTTCTTGATTTTGCTTTCTTATTGGAGATTTGTGTTCTCTTTTATTTTCCAAGTTTTGATTTTTTGGCCATGTTAGACGCTTCTGACAGTCAGAATGTTTCCTCCCGCTCTAACGGCGATGGTAGCGAGTCTGAGTCTACTTCTTCTTCCGAGTTATCTCATTCAAGTGAGCCTCTCAGGTCATATGTCCCTTTTTCTTCTCCCATTTCTTGCTCCCCTTCAAGTTATGTTTCCCCCTGATTGTGATGCTTTTGCGGGAATTACGCTGCTGGTGGTGCATTTACTCGTGCCGAGGAGCCCAGCGGTGGTCGCTTGCCCCCAGCACCTTTCATCCCTACCTTCCGGGTAGGGTTCGTGACGACATTTTTTACCTTTATTGTGAGAGGGTCCTAATGATTAGGGGGGTTGCACTGCCTCATCTACGGCTGCGCTCTGGCCGTCATGCGCGATTAGCAGCTAAGGTTAGGGCCAACCCTTTTGCTGATGCCTCTAAGAGTCCTTTTCCTGATGTACTTCCTTTGCGTGAGTTTACTTGGTTGGATGATATATCTGATGTGCACCATTTTGATCATTATGTAGTGCGCAGCTTAACTCCCATTGTTAGTTCAATGGCTACTCCTCAATCTTAGTCTCTTGAAGACGTTGCCCTTAATGCCTGCTAGCCCCGATATGTAAATGAGGTGGTTCCTCTAGGTGATGCTACCTTCTCCTTGGAAGAGAAGACTAAAGGTCCTTGGCTCTGAACTTTGAGCTTTGACTGGCGGTTATTGGTTGTGCGTCTGAAGCTGGCATAGTGTGGTAATTCGTTTTATGGGTTAGGATCAGGCTATGAGTTGGTGTTCCCTAAAGCTGGGGCCAGCCTGTCTAGCCCTCCTGCTAGGTATATTGTTGTGTTTGCTTCTCATTTGGTTGTGGGATTAAGGTTTCTCCTGGACCTATCCTTGGACAAGATGTTGCGTGCTTTTAATATTCCTCTTTCACTGATTCTGCTAGCGTCTTTGCACACCTTAATCTTTTTACTTTTGACAGTACACTACAAACACTTCCCTGAGTCTCTGTCTCTATTTCATTCTCTGTTCAGCTTCAAATGGAGTGCTTTTGGTGCTGATTCTGGTTGGTTCTATCTTGCACCCAAACCTAAAAGGGTGATGTCCTACCCCAATTTGGGTTGTTTCAAGGATTGGCGAGGAAACTTTTTCTGGTTACGCGTCCTTGCTAATTTTGGGTGCCCTCGCTCTTTTTGCTGTGTGAGGTCAAATATGGGGGGTATCACCTTGCAGACAATTGACACTGCCAAAGAAGCTCACGCTTAAACCCGCTTTGGGGGTGAGACTTATGCACCCAAAACGTGGTTTCCCAATGGGTTGTACATTATAGGGAATGCTCAACTTTCTGCCATGCATCTATGTTCTACTCATGTGTTTGGTAAGATTCTCCCTTCCTTGCCTAACGTTTTTCTTGTTAATTTTGTTTTGCTTTTATGGCGTTGTGACAAACTTCTTTCTTTCTTTCTTTCCAGGCTATGAAAAGTTGGATAAGGCACTATTTGGTGTGGACGATACTTGGAAGCCTCTTACCAAGACTCCAAGAAATCCCGTACCTTTTTAAGGTGTTGGAGGTCTACATTGGTGCTCGCATGGGTGAGACACGCGTAATTCCTACTGAGTTTACACATGGTCCAACTACTGCTGGTACTTCTGCTCGTTCTACTCCCACCATTCAAGCAATGGCTGATCCTGAAGTTTCTACTACTGGTAGTGATCAAGTTAGGGGAAATGTTGATTCTCCTCTAAAGTTTGGGTCGTTGATGGCGTCGAATTCTTCGGTTGTGGTCTCCGGTTGGTGGACACTCCATACTACTAAGGATAGCAAGTATGAGGCTCATGACCAAGAGGTCCCTAACGCTGTAGACACTTAAGACCGCACAGGTCACAGCAACAACGAGTTCGCAGATTACTTGCTGAATGCTGCGCCGTTTGACACTCCATCCATTGGTGGTGATGGTGGGGTATCCGAGCCTATGCAAATTGATGTATCTTCTGGGCTTGAACCGCAGGGTTCCATTTCTATTGGGCATGTTCTGCCCTCTCTCAAGGAGACTTCTCTTTCGATTTTGGAGAGTAGACCTCTCCCTACTTCTACTTTTACTGAGCATGTTCTACTCAAAAATCCTGCTTCTACAGGCGTTATTGTTGAACTTCCTAGGTCTACTTCTTCTTTTACTAGCTCCACAGTAACTCACAACCCCCTTTCTCAGCTTAGACCCTACATACCTTGATCGTCTGCGCAGCCACCGTCGTGGTGGGCGTATGCCTAGCACATCTGGCAGAGGAAGCCCCACTATTGTTATTGACCTGGAGCCTATTTCTTCTCCACGTGAGCCTTCTCCTAAGAGTCGTTGGATTCCTCCTGTGAAAGAGTTATTTACTTCAACCTATGGCCATTGTGAGCCTACTAAGGTGCTAAATTCTCAAGGCTGAGGTGCTCCTGCTTCCAACGATCTTAATCGCTGTGTGAACCAATACTTTGGAGAAGCTTATGCTCACCCTTTTTTTGTCTCTTCCAAGTCCGTGGTTGGAACTTTCAGGGTAGCTAGCCCTCTTGAGTTTTCTGAAGTTCATATTGACCCCTTTTTGCGGTCAGGGCGGGAACATCTCAAGAGCAAATGCTAGCTCATATTTTCTATTTTTCTTCTTTTTCTTGCTCTTGCTTCTTCTCTTTTTTCCCATTTTCTTATTCTTCTTAGGAAGGGGACCAAACCTTGGACCTTCAATCTTTGGAGGGGCAATGACACCCTCCTCAAAGGTTACTTGGTTCAGTTTACATGTATCACAAGGAGGTGGGTTCTCAGTAGCCATGATTTCTTCTTGAACATTGCTCAAATGGGATTTCTCCAAACAAGTCTCCAACCCCTCAACCACATCAACTCTAAAATCTCTCTCAACCATGGGGTTCTTGAATGCTTTTGAAAACTCGAAAACAATCTTCTCATCGGCAACTTCACAAATGATTGTGTTGTTTTTGCAATTTATCACCGCACCCAAGGTCTTGAGAGCTTCTCTACCAAGAATCAATGGAGTGACTACATCCTCCTCCATATCCATAACCACAAAATCACATGGAACATAGATGTGCCCCACTTAAATATGAACATCTTCAAGCTCACCATAAGACATCTCAACCGATCTATCGGCTAGATGAATGGTCTTTCTTGTGGGGATTATCTCGATATTGAGTTGCTTAGAAATGGACGAGGGAATCAAGCTAACATTAGCTCCAAGGTTGGCCAAAGCACCCTTGACCTCCAAATTGCGAATTTTAACCGGCAAAGTGAAACTTCCCGGATCTTGTTGCTTCTTCGGCATCTCATGTTGGAGCAAAGCAATAACTTGAAGAGGAAGAGTGATGAGATCTTCATTAATCTTCTTTTTGTTAAAGATAATTTCCTTTAGGAACTTTTCATACGAAGGAATTTGTGCGATCGCCTTAAGGAAAGGAATGTTGATGTGTAGGCCCTTCATCACCCTAAAAAACCTCACAAACTTCTCATTCAAACTATTCTTAATTAGCCGAGTAGGGTAAGCAATATTGCCGTCAAATTTTTTTGGCACACTAAGATCAATAGGCACCTCCTTCTCCTTAGGCATCTTCTTCTTAGCCACCTACTCTACCACCTCTTCTTCAATCTTTGCTTATTTCCTCCTCACAATTCTTCTTTTTTGCCTCATTCTCCTTGGGACCACAATAAGAAGTCCCTGACCTCAAAGTGATGGCCTTGAAAGACTCGGGTTTTTAGGTATGTGAGGGGTTAGTAGAGGTTTGTCTGGGTAGTTTTGAGATGGGTGAGTTAAGAGAAGAGTTTTCTGCACTTGAGCCAATTAAGAATCAACCATCTTGTTGTGAGCTTTGATCTCATGGATTTTTTGATTCATGGATTGGAGTTGTTGAAGGATTTGGCTTTGTGTGTTTTCAGGTTGGAGTTGCTCAAGGAACTTTTGAGGGGATTGGTTTTGGTATTGCCTTTGGTTGTGGTCCCTCTTTGATTGGAAGGGTGTGGTACATTTTGGTTTGGATTGATGGTAGGTTCGCTCTGTTGATAGGAGAAGTTCCCTTGCCTTTGTTGGTGTTGGGGTTGGGCTTGCCATTGTTATTGGGGTTGATATTGGCTTTTGGACCAAATCCGGGTGGTGGTCAGACATGCCATATTCATGTTGTTGTCTCAATACCCATCTTGCCTTGTACTCATAGCTGCAACATATTCATAATTAAACCCTCCACAATAAAATGTATTGTGGTTTGTAACACGGTCGTTTGATTCTAAAACTCCTTTAATCAAACAAAGATTTATAATACCTAAACCTAACACTAAACAACAGTCTAGTGGCAAGTCAAGGGTCAATCCACAGAGAATGGCTAATCACCACAGTCATCACCAACAACTAAGCCAGGCCAAAAAGGGGTAAGAAATGACAACTAATACTACAAGACTAGACTAGACTAGACTAAGACAAAAGATAAAATGCTAAGGAATTGAGTAGGTATAAGCTTCACTTAAGCATACATAGGACTATAATCGGATTGATCACAAATTAAGTATATTTAAATGTCGAATTAAGGTCTAACCCAACCTCCTATCGGGATCAAAAGGTTTCTAACATAGCCTCTATGCTATTGCACTAGAACCATATACATACTCGTAGGTACAATCAAGCACAATCGAAAACAATGAATCTAGTTAGGTCTTCTATCACGTCATCCAGCATCAATTCACCTTAATTAACAAATAACATGCATTTTGCTAGAAAATTGAAGAATATCAAACACGCAAAGACTTTAATACTGATCAAACCAAATTCTATAGCTAACACATGCTGAAGCTTTAATTATACCATCCCAAAACCCTTAAGAAAAGAGATTACTCCATAATCATGGAAATCAACAAACTAATCAACAAATCAATGAGTAGAAGCATGATTAACAAGAAATCAACAAAGCAAAATCAAAATAAAGCAATAAAGATAGAGAAGAGAAGGTAAGAATTCCTCATTGATTGATGTTTGAAGCTTATAATACAATTGTCACTCTAGAATTTTCATCATCTTTAATCTTTCATTGAATAATCCTTACTTTCTCTCTCTAAACTACTCTAATCTTAAGCTAAACCTAGAGAGAGAAGCCCTCATAAAATCTAGAAAATAAAAACTTTTCCAAAAAGGTTCTAAAAATTAGGCTTATATAGCCCGTACAAATTGCAGCTGAAATTGGGAAAAGGTTCGGCCGAACCCTAGGTAGGTTTGGTCGAAGAGTTTGACCAAACCATGTGTAGGTTCGACCAAACACCCCTGCCCTTGATTTTGTCGAACTCTTGGCAGTTTGACCCCTCCTACAAAAATGAGAGAATCCTCCTTGAATTTGCCTCTTTTGGCAGTTTGACCAAACCTTTTTGGTTCGACCAAACTTTTCACTTCTCTTTGATTAAACCTCTTCTTGAAACTTCTCTTCTTGTCTTCTACTCTTCTCTTTGCTTCTTTTTCCTTCATCCATGCTTCCAAGCTAGACCAAGGGGCCTTCCACCATGCTCGGGTTCACTATGGAAACTGCAAAAAGATAACAAAGATCACAAGAGCGAGGGGATGACAAAGGGATGCATAAAGATCATTAAAATGAGCACAAATAAGTACATCTTTCATCAAGCACACAAGAAAACCCAAAGAGAAGAAATGAGATAGAAAAGCCTAAGAAAATAAGAGACATTAAGCCTTAAAACTGCCCTAAAGAGTGACATAAATGTCACTAATCAAATTCCCCTAAGCTAAGTTTTACTCGTCCTCGAGCAAAATAAGAACTAAACATAAGGGAAGACGACACATTTATTAAAACTAAGGAAACAAAGGGGGAAAGGATGTACACTAACTCATTGTCGTAGGAATCACGGTTGTTTTTAGCTACAATAAGCCCTTAAAACCCCAAAGTTGCCTTTGAGGATGAGTGTGGTCTCGTAAGGGTTTCCTAAGAGTTTAACACATAACTCTAGCAAACCAAACATAAAAGGCAAAGCATGAAAAAGAAATCAAAAGAAAAACAAATGCTCTTAAATGGACTTTTCTAAATGAACAAGCACGAATGGATGCAAGTCTTTCTAAACAAGAAGACGAGCGCACGTTTCAAGATACCAAAGGTTGATTGAAACATAGGATATGCTAAGCATAGAGAATAATAAGAAACAATTCACCTTACGTCCCAAACCAATCTTACTGCATTCTCCCTACTAGCTTCAAATTCAAATCAAGTGAGCATCTCAATGGCTCTTTGAAGGAACCGGAAGAGAAGAGATTTAAAGGGTACTCGACATCTTGACTATGAAAACTCGCTCCATAAGCTTGACTCATATCTCCCTCCACCGACTTTTGACTAAACCATAAGGGTCAAAAGGTCTTTGAAGGGTTGTAACGTAAGAAAAAAGGGTAAAAGTAGGCTAAAATTTGAAAATTTGGTGGTATTTCCTAAGTGAAGCAAAAGAGTGTCCATCTCCCAAAAACCGACTTAAGGATTCACCAATTATCAAACAAAAATACCAACACCCCCAAGCTTATTCAAAGCAACACCACAATCATATATACAAAAAGCGTGGATACGCATCTCCCAAGCATAAATGAAACAATGTCCTCAATGCTCTAAACTAGGGAGAAAAATAACCACATCAAAATCTTTTTGTGCTTTTCAAATATTTTTTTTTTTTTTTTTGGTTTTTACTTTTTCAAAGCATTTGCTTTTGTTCCTTTTTTTCACTTTATTAAATTGTCCTTGCCTCATTTAACTTTGGACGATTTTTTCTACTTTACATTTGCTTTTATTCACAAACATTTGGGATTTTCGAATGAACCCCCGGAGATCCGAAACTTTCGGGCGTTCGTAGCCTAGAGATTCCAGATCTCCAAGCGTTCCTCAAAATCGGCGGAAAATAAAAAAAAAAGAAAAGTCGACTCACCTGCTTGCCGGTGACGACTCCCTTGTCTTTGCGATTTCCCGACATCCGCGCCTCCCTTGTAGTGTCGATGCTAAGATTAAAAAAAAAGAAAAAAAAAGTTTTCTTTGTGGTTGAATTTGGTAGTAACCGGTGGTGGTGGTTGATTTTGGGGGTTGAATTTGGGTGAAAGAGAAAGGTAGGTGAAAAGGGTGAAGAAAGAGAGGTGGTGGTGGAATTAGCCGGCTGGTGGTGGTGGTTTGCTTGGTGCTCTACATTAGCTGGCTGGTGGTGATGGTGGTTTGCTTGGTGATGGTTTGATAGGTGGTGTTGGAATTGTTGTGATTTGCTTGGTGGTGGTTGAATTGTGGTGAAGAGAGAGAAGAGTAAAAACAAAGGTAAGAGAGAGAAAGGTTGGAGAGTAATTTTAAAAGGGGTTAATTAAGGTAGTTCATATAAAAATACGGGCGTTACCTGATAAATACACGACGTGGTTTAGTACCCCCCTTAAGGAAAGTCAAAATACTAGTTTTAGTAGGAGAGGGATCATTAAGGGTAGGAAGGTAATTTAAGCTTAGGAGGGTGTTTAGAGAGAGGATATAAATACCCATCACATGGGAAAATTGAACTTTGCCTAAGGTGGAGAATACCTAAAGGTAACTCTCTCTCTCTCTCTCTCTTCTCTTATTTTCTCTCCCCTTTAATTTTCCCCCTCCCCTTTTTTATTTTACATACCCACGCACACACGTGGCCGGCCGGCCACCACCGCAACCACCACCGATCGGTCACCGCAGCCACCAACGAACACGTCAACAGCCGCGGCGACACCGACGGTCGCAACAGCAGCCCAGCCATATGTCGTGGCTGAGCGGTGTTCGAACAAAACAAAAAAAAAATCTCTTTTGTTTTTAATCCTAATCTAGCCTTGATTTAATCATTGATTTTGGGTTGTGTGATGATTTTTATGATGTTTGATTATAAGTATTTTGTATATAAATTTTCAGATTTGGTTTTGAATTAAAAGCCCCAAATTATAAACCCTAGGTTTCTAAGTTTATGTATATTGATGGAAATTGTTTATGGATGATTTAAATTATTGAAATAAGTGTTTTAAAACACAATTAGAACAATTTTAAATGATTTAATAAAGCTGGAATTTTTATATATAAACTATAATTATGTTTCTTGAAAGGATTTTTAATTACCCATTAATTGGGAATAAGAGTAAGGGTTTTAAACTAAATTGCAGCTTGTTTTAGAGGTTTTATGAGTGATTTAAAGAGTGTATATAGCTGGAAATTTATATTGAATATGTATTAATGTCTCTTTGTATTTTTGGGGTTGTAGGAGATTTCCAAGTGAGTGATTTCATTTAGTCGTGGCGATTTTGAGATCATATTCAAAGTACGTTCTCGTACTTAGTAATTATTTGAGTATGTAGAAGCATGCTAGGCTTTGGTTAATTAATTCCAGGGTAGTATCATGATAGGTATTGAGTGGAATTGTTGTATGGATTGATGTTGGTAAATGAATTGTGAAGTATGAATTATATTGTGGTGAATTGATGATTGGAATAAATTATGTTGGCATGTTGAATATGAACCACACTTTTATTATTGGCATGATTGAGAGCATGTTTAATTAGACTAAGTTTTTAATTTGGTTTGAAATATTGAAAAGGAATTTTATTATGGTTCACATAATTTTTATTGATGTGATAAGCATGAAGAAGGAGCTATTTAAGTGTTTATGTACACGAGGATTAAATTATATTTTGGTGCCTAAGTTCACTTAAGGTGTTCTAAATATCGAGGGATAGGATTTGTGGTGCTTTATGCGCTTAAGGTGTTATCTAACACTAAGGTAGTTTAAACAGGATTCAACATTAAATTTATGTGGTCACTAATTATTCAAGAATTAAATTGGTATGTTTGATTGCTTGAATGAATTATAATGATTGATTGTATTATGGTTTGAGAGTCATTACCAAGTCAAAAAAATTTGTAAACAACGTAAAGTGAAAGAGATTACGTACCAAAACTCTTGGAACGTATATACCTTGAGTATGAACATATGGGGGGGCGACTTTATATTTGACCATAACTTCTACTGGGAGTACAGGACGCTGTATATTCCTTTTTATTATGAGCAGGAATCACGTCACTTAAAAGTGGTTCTTTTATACTGGCACGGTTAGCTCCCGTGTTAGTACCCCTTTATTGGGGCAGGTTAGGGGGAAACCCGTTCGATGCATAATCAAGCTAAATAATTAGACTAGTTATTTATTGAGTGGCTATATATGTTGTACGTTGTATGCTTGTAAACAGGTGCAATAAGGTAAGTTGTGTGATGATAGGATGAAAGCATGTTAGTGTGTTTTAGTTACGCTTATGTACTCAGCATTGCTGATTATGTGTTTTTATGTTTGTTTGGCCTTGTCTTTATCTTGGCCCTACGACGACCCGTTTCTAATGGTGAGTAGTGGGGACAAGTAAAGAGGAGCTTTTCAGGTGATGGAGCATTTTCATGATGAGCGTGAGTGAAGAGCGAATCATTCTTAGTTTCTATAGGAATATGATGTGCTTTAAATGCTTTGAATATTATTTATTTTATCATGCTTGTGAAACTGACGCAAAGGTTTTTGAGTATTGTTCGGTTTTCATGAGGGTCTACAATGGTTCCAAGTTGTAGGTTGAATTTGTTAGACTTCATTTGACTTTGGTTTGACTTTTAAGTTGATTTGTTTAAATGGTTTTAAAGATAGTCTTCCGCTATGTGTCTTTGATAATTGCCTTAGCCGTTTTCACGGTGGCGGTAATGTCTTATATTTTCCTATTTCGTATTTTAAAAAAAGAAAAACATGTATTTTTAAGGAAAGAAATTTCTAGGGTGTTACACGAACTAACTCACAATTTTCATGTTTTCATAAACTCAATCACTCTCTCAACACTCATTAATGAAAACAAATATTTATAGGCATACAATCCCATGCCTGATAGGATAAACAAATCTAAATATATAAAATAAAATCCTCAAAAACTCTAATTATATCTTATAAAAAGATAATTTTTCATAATCTTTATCCCAAATAAATCATATGAATACGATAAAATAAATCCTAAGGAAAATAAATCTAGACTCCTAAATTCTTGATGCTTGATCCGCATCAGGTATAAAGTGTAATTGACAAGTATAGTAACTAATGGAGGTAAATGGTGTTAAATGGCAAATATGGAATCCGTGAGCAATAGTCATATCTTCCTCCACCATTGATTCATCGGCCCATCCAGCCACTGACCTTCTAAACAAGAATCATGACCTATTATATTAAGGTTGACCATTCCCCTTATTTACATATTTTTTCTTAGGTTTTCTGTAAATTCGACGGCGAAGCGATTGAGATATTTTTGTAATCAGTGGTAGAGATGGCGGGTTTGGTATTTATTCCTCATCTCTCTCCTTTTTATCACCATTTTTGAGGTTTTTATAGAAGAACAATCTCCACCAATTCTAAGGTTTTCATGGCAGCTCTTGTAAAACCTAAAACCCCCTCATTCAATTCCACCATTCCATCAATAACTTTATACTAAAGGCGAAATTAGAAATGACACTTGTCATTTTTTGGTTAAAAATTTTTCCGCTTTTTTTTTTTTTTTAATTAATGACATCCATTTTATAACCTACAATAATACTTATTTCCATTTTGACAATGTATTTAATCCAATATACTCAATTAATTTTTTTTACATATATTCTACTGTATATACTAGGAAATTTTTAGTTACAAAAATACTAACATAGATTAAAAATAAGGTATTGTAATATTTTATAATATATTATTATCCAAGATTATTATAATACTAGGTTAGAACCCGTGCGATTCACTGTTTATATAAAATCTATTTTTATAAATTGTACATTTTTTTTTTTAAAAAATAGATAAATATAAATAAGAATTATGCACCTTATACAAAAATATTTGTAATTTTATAGTTTTAGATTTTCATCAAAATTATGATATAATACCTGTTCAACGTCGCCTAATACATATTTCAATGTAGGAGTCCATTTATTAGTGTGCTATTACAACTGTTTCATTTTTAAAAGATAGATTGATAGGTTGTATTTGTAATGTAGAAGGTTTTAATATCAAATTTCAAAATTGTCAAATATGGTAGCTCCACCAAAAAAAAAATAAAAAAATGACATCATCCTTGCATTTAGGTGGGAAAAAATTTATTATCTGAGTGACACGTGGATAGTGATGATGTCAACAACGTTTTATTTTATTAATAGTTAATAGATTATCAAATTTTTTTCTCCAACTTTTAACATTTGACAATAAAATTTATCTTAATTAAAAAAGAAAAATCATTATGGTAGCATACTTTGTGTAAATTTTAAAATTATATATAACTTTTATAAGAACAACCGAACAAAATCATTTATATTGAAAAATTCAATCTAATTACTATAAACATTTATGTGATTATTAAAAAAAAAAAGAAAGAAAGAAAATTAAAACCTTTACTTCTCACTAAAAATATGTTTAAAAAAGTTGATTATGGAATACTAATTATCCTAAAGTAAAATAAATTTAACTAAATTTTCATATAATGCCGGTCAAAGTGTGTCAACAAAATATAAGGGCAAATGTATATGAGTTTGTATACGGTACTTAACCTAAGCTAATATTTTCATTCATTTATATAAAACCTTATAGCTTCTAATTTCTATTATTATTTTATACAATCCAATTCAATAACCTTTACGTATTTGGTATTAGTATAAATTAATATTCAAGTTAATTTGTTACAAATATTATTTTTGGATAAATAATTTATGAATTAACACCATTATTTATAATTTATTTACTGTAAACTGTAATTATGACCGTGTATGATACGGGACTTAACCTAGTTAATCTCTAAATTCAAACAAGTTGAGGAGCTTTTAATTTGGAGGAAAATCTTTTAAAGTCATTAGTTCACGGACAATGGAAATATTAGCACATTTTCCTTATTTTAAAAAAATATTTATTGTTTTTATAATCACCTAGCACAGCATCACATGCAAAAAAATTACAACACTACCACTTGATAAACAAAATTGATAAACCCGATCCCGTCGATTGTATTATAATTGGAAAAAAATAAAATACGAGTAATATTCCCTGCGGTTAGGGATGTCAGTGGGGCGGATCAAATTGGAGACCCGCCCCATCCCCGCCCCATTGGGGTCTTGGTTTGGGGTGATGGGGCGGGGATGGGGATAAAAACCATACCCGCCATGATGATGGAACGGGGGTGGATTTTAGGTTGTACCCGCCCCACTTCGTACCCACCCTATTCCTACCTACCCCACTTCGTAACCGCCCTATCCCCACTTACCCCACTTTGTATGCTCTATACCCACATCCATATATTTTTAAATACAAAATTATATACTTTTATACTATTTTATAAAAAAATTATGTAAATATAAAATAGTAAATATAATACTTTGTAATACACTTATATTATAAACAAAAATCATTTATATTAACACTAATTTTTTTCTTTTTGCAATCTTTATTAATTATGAAGGATTGTGTATTTGGAAGACCGGGATTAGGAGGGTCTTAGGTGGGGATTAGGTGGAGGTGGATATCCAAGTGGGGGTTGGGGTGGGGATGGTTTTAGAATTGTACCCGCCGGGGTGGGGGCGGGAATGGGGATGAATTTTAGATCCGCTGCGTTGATGGAGATGGGGATGAAGATGAAAATTTTAGGTCGGGATGGGGATGGGAAGACCAACATCCACCCCGCCCCGCCCCATTGACATCCCTACCTGCGGTTATAGTTCAGTTGTATACTTGTCATCACTGATTATTTGTCACTTGTCACTACCACAAACTTACTGTGTTGAGAGAACTGAGAGAAAAAACCTTCATCAAGCAAACAAATCAGGCAGCTATGGCAGCAGTATGCAGCTACTTCCCACTCGAGCTTCAACCTTCGCAATTTCTGGGTCGAACCCTTTCTTTTCTCGTAAGCCCAAATTAACTTTATGCTGCCGATAGTTTATTTTAACTTTTAATTATCCTGTTAAAGTAATTAATTTCAATTAGTTCTAGTCATTTTGCAGTCGTGTCTTTGGCTAAGCTATTGGTTAAACTTTATGGAGAAGTGAGATTGGCACAATTTATTGGTGAAATTCATGAAATTTGCAAGTTTGTTTATGATTTAGAACTGAAATTGCTATATGCATTGAAATGAATCGTATGATTATCTGAAAACTTGCATAAAATGGCAGAACATAAATTAATTTGCTTAAAATTGTGCTGATACGAATGTTGAATGTGGCTTATAATTTGTGCGAGAGGGACTACTATAGGCTAGTTTCTAGAATTAATTATTGTGTCTGAATTTTCGGTTTGATAAGGTTATCTTTGAAGGGGTTCGATTAGAGAATTTAAATTGTTTCTATGACCTTACAGATGTTTTTTTTGTCAACTGATAGGTCAACAAGCTGAGATGAGCAAAATATTAGTTTGTTCGAGCTAGGCTTGATAGATAATACATGAGCTCAAGCTGAGTCTAGCTTAACCAAGCTTTAAATTTGATTGTTCAAAGTTTGGCCTGTTTAGGTATTTTGTTGTTTGAGTTTGACTCACAAGTAGCTCGTTTAAATTTGAGCTCAAGCTCTAGCCAAGCTGATCGAATTTAATCAAGCCGTTGGTAATGATAAATGAGCAAGATTGACTTTTAACGAGCATGTGCATTAATATATGAGTACATGCTTTTAAATCTTGAAAATTTCAATCTTATAACAAATTTGCATAGTAATACTATTTATAAACTCATAGAGTAAACTTTAGAATACAATTAGGAGTTTTGGGAACTTAATGAAAAGTAAATGTAGATTTTCATTGTTTTTCCAACCTTTATTATAGGAAGTGCTATATATAATATGTATTCTGATCACTTTAGTAATATTTACTATAAAAGTATTGTTCCTAACTTACAGTAAAATATTATTCTTTAGTGTTTTGGTTGTTAAAATTCAAGCTTGAAAGGGTTTTAAATGAATTTTATAAAAGAACACGAACAATCTTATAGGCAAACACAAACGAGTTGTTCATGAGCGAGTCGAACAATAGAGTTTGAGCTTTGCTCGTTTATTTAATGATCTTGAAACTTTGTTCAGATTCATTTATTTACTATTACTATTGAAAGATATTTGACCAAGTTTGTTTACGTGTGCATCGGGTTATTGAATGTTGATCCCTGTCAATTGAATTGTGTTTGCATCTTAAGGTCTCTCACTAACAATAGATTATATGGGGTGCGTTTCTAAAGAGAATGATCTAGTGTTCTAGTCTATATTCTCTAATTTGAAAATTTTGAAGTTCTAGTCTTGTCTGGCGTCATTTTTATGTTGAGGTTGAATTCACTTCGTCTGGTCTGAAATTTTACGACGCAGTCCAGTTTGATCTGATTGTAACAATCAATCAATCAATCAATCAATGATTAGTAATCTGATTGTAACAGTGATTAGTAATACGAAGTAATAATAATTAAGTGAAGAATTAATAATAATGATAAGAGGACAAAGCCTTAGTATACTATAAGCAGTTTATAGCAACAACCAATAATTAATCTCATTCTTTTTGTCGGTCAAGCTCTGCAACACCTGTTATTAATAGGCTACAGGCAATTGTATTATACTTTGCAGTTCAATACCTTTTGTATAGCATGACTAGGGATTCCTTTATAGTGTTGCTGTACCAAATTGGTTTATAGAAATTAGGGAATTTTCAACAATGAAGTTAACAAAAAAGGTTAGTATAAACAACAACGACAACTTTAAATGCATCTTGATATGGTGCATTCACAGTACTTGGCTAACTTTCTTTTTACTTAATTGTGATATTTTAATACGAACTTCCTAAATTTTTTTTTTATTTTTTATTTTTTTTGGTGATATGTATGATTTTTGGTAGCTGAGAAATTATATGTTTTAGTTGTTGAATAATTAATTTTGTGATCTAAGGAGTTGATATTACAAATTTAGAACAAATATGTGTTGAAAAAGGAGAATATAGTCAAATACTATAGTACTATACACGTATCAATTCCTAATTTAAATGAATTAGATGCCATTGTAATTTTTTACACTAAAATGACTTGAAATTTTATATTATTACACCTTTAGCCCTTCTTTCGACCAGGTAATTTGCCATTGTGTTGCATTACTATAATCTCCCTCCTTTTTCCAAGAACTTTTTTCATTTTTATAGTCCTAATTGAAAGAAGGATAAAGCTTTGCATGAGGTGAATAGCCATTGGAAAGAACAAAGTAGTATTGTGGATCCAGAGTGAAAGATGGGACATTTATTGGGGATAAGTGCATTCTTATTATTTCCTCTAGTCCATTAAATTAAGTTACAATTTGCAAATTCCCACATCATTAATTATTCTGCTTGGTGGTACTGTGTTTCATCTCGTCCATTCTATTGTGTCTGTTACATTATCAGCATAGATACTAAATGCTGTTTGATTGTGATCTTGAATGCAAATGTAGGAAAAAAAACCATTTCAGCACATGGCACAGAACTATAGACGCAGACCAAGAATTAATGCTCTTTTTTGGGGATCCAAGAAGGCAGTCGAGCAATTTGATACATCTCTTTTACTAGGAGAATTCTCTTTGACAGGGTCAGGCTCAGAGGTGTTTTGTGTTTTGGTCTTTTATATGAGTTATTTGAGGTCTTTTCATTGTGAAAGCACAACAATATGATCTCTGAATCTGAAAAGCACCTCAGAATTTGACATCTGATTCTGTTTCTGTCTCATTGCTGACAGAGTGCTGAAACTGATTCATTATTACCCAAGAAGGTTTCTATATCTGCTATCTCATCTATCTCTGAGGTTTCATCAGATGAATGGGATGCATGTGCTGTAGATATGAATGGACCTGAAAAGTTAAATCCATTTCTTTCTCATGGTTTTCTTTCAAGCTTAGAGGAGTCTCGTTGTGCTGTGAAGGTCTGGCAATCTCTTGAATACTACAATTTATTCTATAGGGAATGCACTATTTATTTGCTAATTCCGTGTTGCTTCTTTTATGCAAAGTGAAGTTTTATGAATTAAGTACGAGTGTTCCTTTTCATTACTCTTTCATAAGGCTCTGTTCTCTTTTCTCATCCAATCACTTTCACTTTGCATGAAATAAGTACGAGTGCTCCTTTTCATTACTCATTCATAAGGCTCTGTTTTCTTTTCTCATCCATCACTATAATAGAGGCTAGAAATTTTGTAGCTTGGTGTAAAACGAGGAAATTTCAATTTTGTTGAGCTAAAGGTAGTTTTTATTTACTTTTTTTTTTTGGTGGATTTTGTGGTTTTGAACAAAAATCAAAGTTATGAACTTGAGTCATATAATTTAAGAACTATGTTGAACAAAATCAAGCACAAAGGATGATCTCAAATCAAAATTAAACACGAAGACATTTGAGTTTAAGGTCTTAATCCATAGGTTTCATGGATGCTCTCGCATCACTTGGTACCTCCAAAATTATGTACAACCATAAGTCCCAAGAATATTACTTGCACATCAAATTTTTCACCAAAAATATGGATTTGATCCACAAAGTCACTAAGATTTCCTTCATTTTTGCTTATCTGAAGGGTTTATTGTGCAAGCTAGATTAAAAATTCTTACGATCATGTTTCCTAGGTTTTTATATACCAATTCTTGAAAGTGTGAGTCTTCCTTTAAAATAAAGAAAGTTTATGTTTTTGTATTTTGTTTACAACTTATTCTTAAGTGTCATTCAATGGATGGGCTTTTTATCATAAGATCTCACAAGTTATGCAGACTTGAATGCTTTCATTTTACAAGTTAATACTAATTTCCCACCCTCTTTCCATCTTTTGCTTTGTGGTTTCTTCTAAATACTTATCGATAGCTGATCTAGATTTGCTATAGTATCTCATTGAACTTGTTCTTATGACTAAAAATTACTCAGGAAACAGGATGGGCACCAAAGCACATTATTGCTAAGGATGAAGTTGACAATGTCATTGGTGTGGTTCCACTGTACCTTAAAAGGTAGTTACATGCAAAGCTGTTCGAAAAGGAGTATTTGTCAATTAATTTCTTGGCTGACGTAGTCACTTTGATTTGTTTGTTCCTTAAATGGGCATGCAGTCATTCCTATGGTGAATATGTTTTTGATCATTCATGGGCCAATGCTTACTATAGTTATGGTTCGAGGTATTATCCCAAGTTACAAAGTTGTGTCCCATTCACTCCAGTTACTGGTCCAAGAATCTTACTTCGTAATACGGCCTGCAAAGATGAGATTTTTGATATTATGGTCTCTGCATTAAAAGATCTAACGACGAAGGTACATGTCTGTATGATGTTATATGGAATCAGTTGTGCTACATATATATATTTATGATTGAATATTGACTTGTTAACAAGCATAAAGTTTCCTGTGCTAACTTATTTTTACAATGTCTATCCCACCAAGTTTACCACACTTTCATTGTAGAAAACCATTAAGGAAGATAAATTTATGTGTCAGTCCTTACTAATATTTCGAAAACCATATCAGATTCGGAGTACCAAGTTTGAAGTTAACTTAATCGTATGCTTAAATGGGGGAATCAAACTGAAAAACATGGTCTTATATAGATACCATTTTTTTTGACATTTGCTAAACTAAAATACAAGTGCTTTGAGATGACTACTTTTTGAAAATTTTGCAAATTGATAAAAGTAATAGCGCGTTATTAGTTGTTACTATGATATTTTACTCTTCAATGCATATTAACTGTCTAAACTGAGAACTGTCTTAAAAGACTACTTTTGGCGACTACCCAGTAGAATATGACAACACTAAGTAGGGATCCTGCCAGTGGCCAGTGTTCTTCCTATGTGCCCAGCCTTACTGAATTCTGATAACCCCCCAAGCCTAGTGGAAAGGGGCTGTTCCTCAAAGACTTGTATAAAAAATTACCTGCTAGTAAGGAAACACAGAAAAGGGAAAGTTCTGAAACTAGAACACCAGATTATCTTTCTTTCTTGTCCTGGAAGGAGTTAGTGAAGAAACTCAAAAGGCTTGACATTATGAGTCTTTTAAGGTTGGTTTTAAAACTGTGGAAAAGTGGCTTACTGGTTGAGTCCTGATTTTTATCATAACAACAGAAAATCTATACCTTTGATTCTGTTTATTGAATTTCATTATTTGGAAAGTAATGAAGATAATTCTTGGTTTACTTAAAGGAAAGGAAAATGAGAAGAGATACCCCCCCTTTGCTTCTTTTATGTCACTGGATTTTGTTTGCTATTGTGGTTTTTTAGAAGCGGAAGGAGCAGTGATATTGTGGCAAGTATGAGGTAGAGATGATTCATGGCAGGACATCAAATTGTAATTGTGGTTGAGTGGAGGGGATGGTGTCAGCTGTGCTGGAAGATGAGATCTAGGGTTGACGGTGTTTACAGAGGAATCAAAGTTGTCACCTACTCAGTGGGGGCAGTTGGTGGTTCAGAGCAAGTTCACTGTTGTGGACGTGTTGATAGTGGCTGAAATGGTGAGTGAGATGTGGCTGTGATTATTGGCTAGGATGCTTTTGGTGTTTAGGGTGGGTTTGGTGCCTTGGCAGTTCTAAGTTTGGAAGTGGCATTTTTTTTTTTTAAATTTTTTATAATTTGGTTAGCCTTTTGTTTGCTTGTTTTTTTCCAAGGAGGAACTTGAATCTTGGGGTGGGGGTTTGAAAAATTGGAAGGGGAAAAGTGGAATCACTAAACTAGACCTGAACAAAATCGATGAATTTAGATTTGATGAGTACAAGCAATTTTACTTCAAGAGGCCAATAATGAGCACCCAAAGTGTTGATTAACTTTATGCATAGTGCTGATGCTTTGCTGGGTTTGTTGCTGCTGGTTCTGTTTTTGCTGTTGCTGTTCTGCTGGAAGTGCTGTTATTGTTTGCTTGCTGTCCTGGTTTCTCAAAGGTCGCTTTGGTGTGCTTTTTGGTGTTGCAAGCTTGCTGCTGAGTTGTATAGGGGTGTAATCTTCTAGCTGATGTTCCTGTTGCTCTGCTGCTGCCTATTTGCTTTGAATTTTTTGATTGGCAGATCCTTGATGTTGAAGCTTTGGGCTTTGTTCTTCTTTCCTTTTCTTTTTGTAGGCCATCCCTTGTTTGCTTTTGGGCTTGTTGTGTTGTCCTGTTCCTTTGGTTTTGGGTAACCCTCCTAGCGGGTAGCTCTTTTCCATTGAGTTTAGAAGAGCCGTGTTTGGTCCAAGGTTCTTTGGAACCCTTCCTAGAAGGTGGCATTTGGACCTTGGTCATTGGCTGGTGGGTGTGTGCCCTTAGGGGCTTTCGGTGTTTTGGAGTTTAGGCCTTCAGGCTATTTGTATTCCTGTTTTGCTGCTTTGCAGTTCCCTTGGTAATGAAATTTCTACCAAAAAAAAAAAAAAAAAACTTTATGCATAGTGTCATTAATTCTATATTTCGTTTTCCAGTTCCAGGTCTCATCAATGCATGTTACATTTCCGAATGAAAGTCAGTGGCAGAGGATGAAAGAGAAGGGCTTCCTTCAGAGAATAGGCATGCAATACCACTGGAAAAATCGGAATTACAAGAAGTAAGTGAAGCATACTTGATACAATTACTACTATATGCATCCCTCAAATATACATCTAACCAAGAAAATAGAACAAAGGATGTAGTTGTGATATTCTGATAATTGGCATAGGATTGGCTTAAGTGGTAAATATTGCAACCATTTGTTGGGGCAGCGGAAGTGAAACCCTCACAAACAAAACCCGCCAATTGTCACTTATCCTTCAACATATATTAGAGAAACCCTCTCATTTCCCACACCCATCTAGGGCAATATAACCCCTCCCCTCCGGACTATATTTTCTATCATAATAGAGTTTGTAAACTAACATAGTTAACAATACCAGACCCGAAACCCTCCAGAAGTATAGTATATAGTGCTAGTCTTTTGTATTCCAAACCCTCTCGAAAGTTGAAACCTACATAACATATAGTGCTAGTCTTTTGTATTCTAAATCTAGAATAGAGTCAAGAAGACCGAAACCCTATTGAAGTATAGTATGGAGTCCTAACCTTTCTACATGTTTTATGTATTCTTAACTCTTCTCTAAATTTAGAATACAGATGACTAGCACTTTATGCATGTGTAATGAATTGACTTAGGGGAGAGGCATTATGGGTAGTTTAGTCATCTATTGTAGTACATAAAGAAAATATGCAATGAACCAAGAGATGCCACCTATGCACATGAGACAAAAGCATAGTCTAGAATCATCCTAAGATTGGGAATGTAAGTATAAAAAGAGAAGGGAACTATTGGTAGAAATACTTCACAAAGTAATGGTGAATTTTTTTAAAAGGACATGTAGCCAATGTTTCCTACATCAAGGAAATTTTGGTAAAAATCATTATCAACCTTCATAACAAAAAAATCACTTGATATAAGCAGGTTATTGACACCAAAAAATTGAAAGAAAACAAAAAATATTAAGGATATGCCCTCTACCTTTATCTAATGTTCTTACTCTAATCAAGAAAGGAAAGTGTTCTATGAGATATGGTTTGTGTTTTCAAATAAAGTTTTCCTCTAACTAATTTAGAATAACTTATTGAATAGTTTGTAAATGAAGAATTATGTTAGTAGTTAACATTAAAACTTTATTGCATTGATATAACCATACAAGAATGTATAAGTTTGCATCTTGGACATTAACTTTTGTAACTAGCCTTTTAGGATTGATACTACACTGCATAGTTTCTATATTCTATGTTCTTCTATAATGCATTAATACCTAAAACTTATAAGGACATTTACTTCCCTCTCCCTTGCATGTATACAAGGTTTAAGGATCCATTTTCTACACACACACACACACAAAAAAAAAAAAAAAAAATGTATATATATATATATAAAAAAAAGACTGATATTTGCTTAATGATTAACTAAAGAATTTCAGATTGCTAATGCTACTTTGCCAAAAGTTGAAAATAAGATTTATTCAATCATCTCGATGTAGTGGGCCTATAATCAAACTAAAACCACTATATGCATTGGGCCTTAAAGACTATAAAGGTTATCCTGAAGGAGAAACTTGCAAATATTAGATTTCCCCTGACCTAACTAATTGTGTCTACAATTCTTGTAAAAATCATTTTACATTGCATTGAATTCTAAACCCTGATCGTGTTCAATTGTTTTTCTTTGGCAACAGTTTTGATGGATTTTTGATGGATTTGAAGCAAAGCAAAAGAAAAAATATTCGCCAGGAGCGAAAAAAGGTCAGACCCATGATACTTAGGATATCCTCTCTCTTTCTCCTAGACTATAAAAAAATTGATTTAATAAAAGTATTGTCTAATAGCGTCATTCATGGTTCAACGTTGGATTTCAATGGTGAGGCTTCCAAGCAATTGCTTCTCTTCCATTTGCAAAATTGGCAAAATATTCCGTGGTTGTAGATGCCAATTTGTTTAGTGATAGAGCGAGATATATGTCGTTAAATAAATTCACCTATCAAATTACTTATCTACCAAGATTCGAGTAAACTGACAAGTAGGGTCATATTTCCACATAGAAGCAAGCATGTCATCCAAGTCAAATCACTATTAAAATCAAGCCAAAGGGTGACATATTTTTTCGGGATTTTTTCGAATAAACAAAGAAACTAAAAACAAACTAACAAGAAACAATTTAAACACGGGTTTTAACAAGATTAACAAATGCTAGGGGATTGGGGGATTCAAACATGGTGCATAAACAATCAATCAACAACAATTATCATGAAGAACATACCAGGGGAAGTAATTATCAAGAACATATTTTGACAATATAACAATTCTCAAGTTATATTCCAATTATCAACTTCGAATAAAAAAAAACATAACAAATATTTGGTGGTGGGTGGTGGAAGCCTGTTTCATGTTTTCCTAAACAATGCCTCAAAACTGTCGTGTCATGTGCACTTTCTTTGAATTCAACACAATTATATATAAAAAGCATATCAAAAGAGCAAGAAGCTAACATATTCCATGTTTTGTATCCACTATGGCTTTTATATACTTGTCTAACTTTGTCTCCCACAACTGCCTTTATATGAGTGCCATCTAAAGAACTAACTCATCCTACATACAAACAATGGAAGAGATTATAACCTTTCGAAAAAAGCCAATACTTAGCGTTTTCGGAAAGCTTTGGTGGAACTTCATTTAGACTTTGATATGGTCGAGTGACATCCTTTGACAATGTGACCAATGCTTGCAATACCCTTCTATTATACTTATAAACAGTTGATATTGAGTGTTGAAATTGTTCTTGTAAGTATAATAGAAGGGTATTGCAAACAGTTCTTGTAAGTATTGGTCGAGTGACATCCTTTGACAATGTTTGGTCACTACTTAATGTTTATAAGTATACTTATAAATAGTTCTTGTAGACATACTTATAATCTTGTGCATCACGACATGATTGCGCTTTCGCTAGGATGTATAAACATATGCCAACCTGAAACCTCCCATCTCAGAGTAGTTGTTTTCCCATGAGCATGCTCACAAGGATGAATATGTGTTTATCAACCTTAATTGTTCTTTGCATAATTGTGGCCGACCATTATCCAGTGAGAACCATGTTTACCTCCAGCATGCAATACAATGGTATTCGATCCATGCTTGTAAGCAACCTTCTTAGCTCATGCATGGCTATGTAATTCATATAATTTTCGATCAACGATTCATCCATTCTATAAGCCAAATATTGAAAAGAAATTATAGATAACCAACTTAATAATGTCAATGATTGTTAAGAATTTAAGTGTTCATAGTAGTATCTAACCTCCATAGTCAAAACAACCCCAGGGAGGTAGTCTCTAACATCCATGAGAAGAAGTCTTAAACATGAGTTATCTTTAACAATGAAACATTGTTGCCATCATCAAATTGAGGACGGTAACAATCATCAAAAAAACAAATTTTTTTCCTCAAGAAAATTAGGTTATTCTCATTATCATGGAGAGCAAACCACAAATTCTACATTCTTAAGCAATTAGTAATGAAAGCCTTCCCATGAGCTTTAATTTCGGGAATGTCTTGCAAGGTTGAAATTAACCTCTAAGGCAAAGAGGAGGATGCTTTTGCGTTTTTTTGGGACTTACTACCAGCTACATGAGAACTATCATCATATTCTCTATCTTCAACAAATTCTGTATCTTCACAGTCCCTTGATCCTTCCTCAACATCCTCTATTCTCTTCATGTAAAATAAACTCAGGCTCGTGGCATTATTAGCCCAAGCCATATAACTAGTCAAGAAAAATTCGACGAAGAGTTGATGCATCTTCCGTTCAAAGGGTAAAGGTCTCTTCAAGAAGGATGAAAGCCTCCCCTTATAAACCTACGAGTAATAAGACAATGTAGAACATTAAGTAGTGACTAAACACATGGACACAAAATTGTAATAAAAAATATGTACTACCTCCATTTCAAATTATATGCAACGATTAGACATTTTTACACACTCTTTATGTCAAATCATTGCAAATAATTTGAAACGGAGGTATGTATACTTGTATAAATGATTTCCACATCTTGTCATTTGGATTGGTATTTGGACGCCTATTGTATCCCATCCAATTCCAGTCCACTTGGTCTTCAATTCATCCTAAATTGCAGTCACAGTTTCCCACCCCTTCTTTTCAAAATTTTCCCCACTTTGTGCATTTAAACGTAACCTACTGTATCTATCACTGGATAATTTGTGGACTAAGACCTTAGAGGTTCCTATGATGGCGCCTATACCACGTTTAGACTAGCCTAACAATACTCAAAGTATAAGAGACACACACAAGTAAGATAAGCACACAAGTACAAGTAAGAACAAGAACACTATTATTAATTCGTGGTTCACAAGTATAACCATGAGTTTCTCTCTCTGGAATCTCTCTTTAGAGCTCTATTTATAGGCACTTTCTGCACCCATTACGCCCACTAAACCCGTTGTTAAGTAACCGCCCATTACTTAACTACTTGGATGAATATGATCTTGTACACGTACAAGGGGAAAGTTATCCACATTTTGCTTGACCAAGTTATCGTCACGTAACTGTCGCACCCCACTATGCCATGCTCCTACATTTTCAGAGCCATGCATCAATGGTGCTTATATGGCATCTAACCATCTACCCACCATAACTGCCCACTCTCCCTTAGTTAGGAACACTAAGCTAGTGGAAAAACTGCTAGGTGATGTTGCATCATCCTCTAACAATAACTACCCATGTCCAAGGAAACACCCTATTAACTTGGAACTCCTATGTTATAGGAACTACCTTGTTAGTGGCGTAACTGCGTTACCGATTGACTTCTGGTTAACATAACCCTAAGTCAACCCACTAACATCATGGTCCTATATTTTAGGAACCATACTTAGTCACGTGCCAACTCAGCATAATTATCCCACCATTTTAGGGAAAGTGGTGCAACGTGGGTCGTTACCATAATCGCCCACCATCCCACTACTCGGCCCATCCTAAAATCAAGGTAACCGCATGCTTCCCACAATGACTAAGTTAACCGTCAAGGAATCCCTACTACTATGGTCCTCGTGATGGCTAGACCATCCTATTTCCAAGGTCCTTCCATAGCACCCATCCCATGGCCACGGGTGTCCATGGTTCCCCCCATTATAGGATCCATAGCCATTGTAGTGTTGATTAAGTTGCTTGTCCTTTCATGGGGTGGTCTCCACCGTAGTAGTGACCACGAAGTCCTCACATGAACCCAAGCACATACTCCATCAACCCACGCTCCGTAGGGTCGACATGCTTCGTACCGAACCATTGGCTAGGCTGGTCCTACCAACGTCCGCCTTAGTCAAGACCACCGAGTTTGTCTTATCGGATGTTCACCTTAACTACCATCATGTGCTATAGTCCCCATAAGCTCTCCTATGTCCAAAACTATGCCCATGGCTTATAAGCATAGGGCCACCCTTTGATCGGTCACCAACCCACCTCCTCCCTGTAGAGCATTATTTTACACTGGCTCAGAGAACACCCAAACTCACAGTAACACGATAATGGATTTACGGGCCCATCCCTTGAACTCAACCTTGAGCATAAGGCCATGTATGATCTATTGGGGCCCTAATAAGTCCCCTCAATTAATCAATTATCATAGGCTATTATGGAGTTTTGCTTGTCCGCACTCCGATGTTCTGCGGGCGCGTGCTCTACCCACAAGTCCAAGGTCTAGTTGGCTAAGCACTTGGTAGCACCAAGGTCTGAGCACTTGCTAGCACCAAGGTCTAGCACATGGGGGTCATTCCATATAACCTCTTAAAGAAATGAGTGAGAGATACTTTAGCCTCACTTGGCTTGTTCTCCTTGAACCGAGCATTCGATTGCCTTTGCGGCAAGCGGTATCCCAAAGGCCTTGCGTGCATATGCGGGTTGGTCGAAGCTTATGCCTCGGTCGACCAAAGAGGTTGTGACAATATCCCAATCATACTTAGCAATACCACTGTCTTTGGCAAAATGTACGCACATATTGAATATACTTTTAGACACAAGGATTATCAACAATTAGGCGGATTAAAACAATAGGAATATTAATTCAAGTGCATGGATTCATATTCAAGTTGAATTTTGGTCATCAGTGTTTTAAATTTAATTATGGTCTTATGAAGTAGCTAAATTTATACTACTAATAGGTTGTGCTAGCACATCTTTTGCCATTTTGAGAAACTAAGCAATTCACTCCTGAATTTGTGAGTTTATGATATTAATTATTGGCTAACCAATGAGAACTTATATTTTTCACACTTTAGCACAAAATGGCAGACAATAAGATTACTTTAACATAAAATTAGGTTGTTATTGTATTAGTTAGGCTAAACAAACGTCTTTGTAATTACTCTATAGTATAAATAAACCTCACAACACATACATCACTCCAAAATTTACATAGACTCCGCGAAGAGATATGCTCTTTTATAGCCAAGCATATTCACCTTGGGTCTAGTGGAGGCTCTAGAAAACCGGCCAAGTTTTCATTGAAGATGGCTAGTCTTCACAACCACACAGTGCGTCTCAATAGCACAAGGACCCATTAAGAGTTTAAACAATTCAACCTCACAAATCAACATGCATTACAAACACCATCACCATAGGAACTAGGACAAGGTAATGCATCTCATGCATCTCATGATTCTTCAACTTGTTTTCTTGCTAACCCTTTCGTCAAAAGATCCGCCAAGTTCTTTTCGGACCTTACATAGTCCAATGCAAT